GGTGGCAGGCAGGGGAGGTTGGCAAGCGGGGGGAGGGTTGAGCTACTGGGAACATAGATGATTTCTCTCCTTGCCTTCCGGTCTCGCATTCTTCCTAGTGGAGAAAGGAGGAGGAGGAGGAAGGAGGTTAAGAAGGAGGAGGGGGAGGAGGAGGAGGAGGAGGAGGAGGAGAGAGTTAAGAAAGAGGAGAAAGAAGAAGGAGGAGGAGGAGGAGGAGGGAGGAGGGAGGAGGAGGAGGAGGAGGAGGAGGAGGAGGAGGAGGAGAATTGAGAAGAGGAGGAGGAGGAGGAGGAAAGAGGAGGAGGAGGAGGAGGAGGAGGAAGGAGGGAGGAGGAGGAGATTAGGAGGAGGAGGAGGAGGAGGAGGATTGAAGAGGAGGGAGGGGGAGGGAGGAGGGAGGAGGAGGAGGAGGAGGAGGAGGGAGGAGGAGGAGGAGGAGAGGATTGAAAGGGAGAAGAAGAAGAAGGAGGAGGAGGAGGAGGAAGGAGGAGGAGGAGGAGGAGGAGGAGGAGGAGGAGGAGGAGGAGGAGGAGGAGGAGGAGGAGGAGTTAAGAAAGGAGGAGGGAGGAGGAGGGAGGAGGAGGAGGAGGAGGAGGGAGGAGGAAGAGGAGGAGGAGGAGGAAAGAGGAGGAGGAGGAAGGAGGAGGAGGAGGAAGGAGGAGGAGGAGGAGGAAGGAGGAGGAGGAGGAGGGTTAGGAGGAGGAGGAGGAGGAGGAGGAGACTTTTGTTGGGGCGTGGACCATATTATTTTTTGTATTGAAGAATTTAATTAGTGAACAAGATGACGTACACACACACACACACACACACACACACACACATCTCCATTAATGAAAATATTGTTCAATTATATGAGAAATTTTTTATATTTTGAATATATTTTTTATCTCGATCTCAAAATTAATTAAGTATCAGGGGCAGGTGAGGGAGAGGTCTTGAGAGGTGAGGACAGGTCTTGAGGAGGTGAGGAGGTCTTGAGAGGTGAGGACAGGTCTTGAGAGGTGAGGAGAGGTCTTGGAGAGGTGAGGACAGGTCTTGAGGTGAGAAGGTCTTGAGAGGTGGAGACAGGTCTTGAGAGGTGAGACAGGTCTTGGGAGAGGTGAGAGGTCTTGAGAGGTGAGAGGGTCTTGAGAGGTGAGACAGGTCTTGAGAGGTGAGGACAGGTCTTGAGAGGTGAGGAAAGGTCTTAGGAGGTGAGAAGGTCTTGAGAGGTGAGAAAAGGTCTTGAGAGGTGAGAAAGGTCTTGAGAGGTGGGAGACGGGTCTTGGAGAGGTGAGAAAAGGTCTTGAGAGGTGAGGACAGGTGTGAGAGGTGAGGAAAGGTCTTGAGGTGAAGGTCTGAGAGGTGAGGATAGGTCTTGAGAGGTGAGACAGGTCTTGAAGGTGAGGAGGTGAGGACAGGTCTTGAGGAGGTGAGGACATGTCTTGAGGTGAGGACAGGTCTTGAGAGGTGAGGACAGGTCTTGAGAGGTGAGAGGACAGGTCTTGGGTGGTGAGAAATTGCTGATATAGTTAAATAGATATTCAACTGGAGGTGTACGTGTAGCAATTTACCATCAATTAACACATGCATCCTCCCCCACCCCTCCTTTTCCACTCAATCCCCCCTCCCCCTCACCCCTCCTCCTCCCCTCTCCATATGCTAGAACCCCACACTCTACTAGTTTTGCTATTAGGTTAAACAAAATAATGGCTAGATATCCGAGGATGTGGTGGCAGGGAAGAACAGTGTATGTGTGTATACTGTCATGGTGTGTATGTGTGTGTATGTCACGGTGTGTATGTGTGTATACTGTCACGGTTGTCATTAGTATGGTGTTCGTTGATTGGTCTTTCCGGTGACGTATGTTAAGCATGACCTCCAGTGATTGGTCCTCTCTTACAGTGACGTATGCAGGCATGATGTGCGGTGATTGGTTCTCTTCTACAACGACGTTGAGTATAATGGGAGGTGATTGGTCCTCTCCGACAGGTGATTGGTTCTCCCTTATTATGACATTACACTAGGGTTTTGATTGGTAGATAAGATGCAGAAATAGACGTCAGGCAGATAAGGGCCAATCACAGCTCGTTATGCCCATTCACGCGGATCCCAGTGAAGACTTCAGACGTGGGTGTGTGATAAGTCCTCTTGTTGGGTCGATACCAGCCTTCCTTCCCTTCCTTCCCTTCCTTCCTTCCCTTCCTTCCTTCCTTCCTTCGCTTCCTTCCTTCCTTCCTTCCTTCCTTCCTTCCTTCCTCCAGTAGTAGTAGTAGTCATTCCAGATGGTCATTCGAGACTAACAAAATTGACTCACCACCACCACCATCGTGCCACCACCACCACCACCACCATCACCATCGTCACCACCACCCTACACCACCATCGTCACACCACCACCACCATCGGCACCACCACCACCACCACCATGTCACCACCACCACCACCACCATCGCCATCGTCACCACCACCACCACCACCATCGTCACCACCACCACCACCATCATCACCACCACCACCACCACTACACCATCGTCACCACCACCACCATCACCATCGTCACCACCACCACCACCACCACCACCACCACCACCACCACCACCATCGTCACCACCACCACCACCACCATCGTCACCACCACCACCACCACCATCGTCACCACCACCACCACCATCACCACCACCACCACCACCACCACCATCGTCACCACCACCACCACCACACATCACCACCACCGCCACACCACCACCATCGTCACCACCATCGTCACCACCACCACCATCACCACTACCATCGTCACCACCACCACCACCACCACCACCACCACCCTGCCACCATCATCACCACCACCACCACCACTACCACCATCGTCACCACCACCACCACCACTCACCACCACCACCACCATCGTCACCACCACCACCACCATCGTCACCACCACCACCACCACCATCGTCACCACCACCTACCACTATCTACCACCACCACCACCATCGTCACCACCACCATCGTCACCACCACCATCGTCACCACCACCACTCACCACTACCATCGTCACCACCACCACCACCACCACCACCACCACCACCATCGTCACCACCACCATCACCACCACCACACCATCACCACCACCACCAGTCATCGATGGTGAGGGTCCAGTGTCAGGTCGGCACGCTGGGTCCTCCTCTGCAGCAGCCATTAGTGTAGTACCAAGGTGTTGAGCTCACCTGGAGACGTACACATATGACCTCCTGGGAAGACACTGTGTAGTCCTTTGTGTCCTGGAGAGGGGAGAGGGAAAGAGTAGGGGAGGAATATGTATTCACCCAACGACATACACACCACTCCCAATCAGACGGGATGTTATATTAATTGTTTCAACATACGTGGTCTTACCTGTAAATGTTATTAATTACCTCAGGTGTCTCCTTCATTATATTACAGGTATATTAATTACTCAAGTCTTTACTTATATTTTGCTTCGTTTATCTTGATGAAAATTAATTCTTTATTGGATATTATTCTTTGTGACGTTACTTAATTGTCTGCCTCCTCCACCCGACCCTCCCTCTCCTACCCTCACCTCCATCCATCACCCGACCCTCCTCCTTACCGTCTCCACCACCATCCATCTATCCCTATCATCATCCTTCTATCCTCCAAAGCACAGCAGCAGCCGTCATCACCTCACCCTCCACTTCCTTCACCCGAGTGTAAAGGCTGCATCAACAGTAGCGTCACTACACCCCACTTTATGGCACTTCCAAGACTCTCTTAATCTCTGTAGGTCGACGGTAGATATGTCTAAACCCGTCTAAACCGTCTAAACCCGTCTAAACACGCTATACAAGATGATTGGGTTGGGTTAGGGTGTGCTTTACTCCATGAAGATAAGCCAGGTATGCGATACTTGAGGGGGAATGATGTGATGTAAACAGAAAACGTCGTGCAATATGATAAAAGTTGACGAACATTATGGTAGTGTCGTGCTGGTGGCTGTTAGACTAACTCATTCCTAGGAATTTATTGTATTTAGTTCTCTATTTCTACGTGAATTATTATAATGAGTTTCGTGAACAGAAATACCCTATGAGGATGAAGTTTTTAATCAATTTGGGATCATTATTAACTCTGAAGGCGGTGGGAACTATTCTACGATAAGGGAAGACGATTTTATTATTATTATTATTATTATCTTTACTATGTGATGGACGGACACACACACACACACACACACACACAAAACACACACACACACAAACACGTATCCGTATTGTTTGTTTTACGTAATCTTGGCGTTTTTAAGGTTACGTCAGACGGTTTAAATGGAGGTTTACGTCGTTACTAACGAGGAGGTTTGTCGTACGAAACGCTATGACTCCTCGTTAGTAGTTCCTCGTCGTTAAGTAGTTCCTCACGTATAATGATGAGGTGAAGATGTGTCTAACTGATGTGATCCTTACCTGAACACACCGCTGGTTAGGTTAGGTTAGGATTGGTGGGTTAGTTGTTGGGGTTAGGTTGGAGTTAGGTTAGGTTAGGTTGTGTGGGTTAGGTTGGGTTAGGTTAGGTTAGGTTGGGATTAAGGAAGCATCTGGATCACCTGAAGTATATCACGGCTTATGTTGCCAAAGATTACACAGCAGGTAGGGCATCAGCGGCAGGTAGGGCATCAGCAGCAGGTAGAGGCATCAGCAGCAGGTAGAGCATCAGCTGATGGGTGGGCATCAGCAGCGGGTGGAGGCATCAGTAGCAGGTAGAGGCATCAGCGGCGGGTGGGGCATCGGCAGCAGGTGGGGGCATCAGCAGCAGGTGGGGGCATCAGCGGCAGGTGGAGGCATCAGCGGCAGGTGGGGCATCAGCAGCGGGTAGAGGCGGCGGGTAGGGCATCAGCGGCACGTAGAGGCGGCGGCGGCGGAGTAGGGCATCAGCGGCACGTGAGGCAGCGGCGGCGGTGAGGGCATCAGCGGCACGTGGTCATCAGTGAGGCATCAGCGGCACGTAGGGCGGCGGGTGAGGCATCAGCGGCAGGTGGAGGCATCAGCAGCAGGTGGGGCATCAGCGGTGGGTGGGGCATCGGCAGCGGGTCGGGGCATCAGCAGTGAGCGGGGCATCGGCAGCGGGTGGGGCATCAGCGGTGGTGGGGCATCGGCGGCGGGTGGGGGCATCAGCAGCGGGTGGGGCATCAGTGGCGGGTATTCGGCGGCGGGTGGGGCAGCAGCAGCGGGTGGGGCATCAGCAGCGGGTGAATCAGCGGTGGGTAGAGGCGGCGGCAGCGGGAGAATCAGCGGTGGTGGGGGCAGCGGCAGCAGTGTGAGCATCAGCAGCGGGTGGAGCATCAGCGGCGGGTGGGGCATCAGCAGCGGGTGGAGGCATCAGCAGTGGGTAGAGGCAGCGGCGGCGGGTAGGGGCATCAGCAGCGGGTGGGGGCATCAGCGGCGGGTGGGGGCATCAGCGCGGGTGGGGCATCAGCGGCGGGTGGGGCATTTGCGGCGGGTGGGGCATCAACGGCGGGTGAGATCAGCGGCAGGTAGAGGCATCAGCAGCAGGTGGAGGCAGCAGCAGCGGGTGGGGGCATCAGCGGCAGGTGGGGCATCAGCGGACTTGCGTAGAATCAGCAGCAGGTGGGGCATCAGCAGCAGGTAGGGGCATCAGCAGCGGGTAGGGCATCCGGCAGGTGAGCGGCGGCAGGTAGGGGCATCAGCAGCGGGTGGGGCATCGGCAGTGGGTAGGGCATCAGCAGCAGGTAGAGGCAGGCAGGGCGGTTTCAGGTGGTGGCGCCCTCTGGTGGTTAATATTCAGACAGGGTGGTGGATCAGTTTCCTCCTCCCTCCTCTCCTCCTTCCTCTCTCCCTCCTTCCCCTCCCTCCCTCCTTCCCTCCTTCTCTTCCTCCTTCCTCCTTCTCTCCCTCCCTCTCTGCCCTCCTCCCTCCCTCCCTCCCTTCCCCTCTCCCTCCTTCTCTCCCTCCCTCCCTCCCTCCTTCCCTCCTTCCCTCCTTCTCTCCCTCCCTCTCGCCCTCCCTCTCCCTCCTTCCCTCCTTCTCTTCCTCCTTCCCTCCTTCTCTCCTCCCTCCCTCCCTCCTTCCCTCCTTCTCTTCCTCCTTCTCTCCTCCCTCCCTCCCTCCTTCCCTCCCTTCCTCCCTCCTTCTCCCTCCCTCTCTGCTCCCTCCCTTCAAACCTAACCTAACCAAATTTTAAATCTAACCTAACCTAACCAATGACAATAAAATAATACCTATTTAATCTACTGCTCCTTTTTAATTTATATATCTTATCGTATTGCTATTGGTAATTAATCAATAGCTCTACAGTAATTACACACCTCCAAGGTATTACAGGTGCTATAAACACAGGTCAGGTGTAAATAATTAACCTCATTAATGATGCAGGTATAGATTTATCTCACCTCCATGAGTCAATGATGCTGCTTCGTGTTACCTGACCTACACACACACATTATTCCACCAATCATAACCTCGTCTCATTCCTCACACACACACACACACCTCATTCCACCAATCATAACCTCCTCTCATTCCTCCACACACACACACACACTCATTCCACCAATCATAACCTCCTCTCATTCCTCACACACATACACTCATTCCACCAATCATAACCTCTCATTCCTCTCACACACACACACACACCTCATTCCACCAATCCCTCCTTTCATTCCTCACACACACACACACACTCATTCCACCAATCATAACCTCCTCTCATTCCTCACACACACACACACACACACACCTCATTCCACCAATCATAACCTCCTCTCATTCCTCACACACATACACACTCATTCCACCAATCATAACCTCTCATTCCTCTCACACACACACACACACTCATTCCACCAATCATAACCTCCTTTCATTCCTCACACACACACACCTCATTCCACCAATCATAACCTCGTCTCATTCCTCACACACACACACTCATTCCACCAATCAATACCTCGTCTCATTCCTCACACACACACACACACACTCATTCCACCAGTCACCTCTCATTCCTCACACAAACATACACACACTCATTCCACCAATCATAACCTCTCATTCCTCACACACACACACACACACACACACACTCATTCCACCAGTCATAACCTCTCATTCCTCACACACACATACACACCTCATTCCACCAATCATAACCTCTCATTCCTCACACACACACACACATCATTCCACCAATCATAACCTCTCATTCCTCACACACACACACACACACACACACACATATTCCGCCAGTCATAACCTCTCATTCCTCACACACATACACACCTCATTCCACCAATCATAACCTCTCATTCCTCACACACACACACACACTCATTCCACCAATCATAACCTCTCATTCCTCACACACACACACACACACCTCATTCCACCAATCATAACCTCTCATTCCTCACACACACACACACACACACACACACTCATTCCACCAGTCATAACCTCTCATTCCTCACACACATACACACCTCATTCCACCAATCATAACCTCTCATTCCTCACACACACACACACTCATTCCACCAATCATAACCTCCTTTCATTCCTCACACACACACACTCATTCCACCAATCATAACCTCGTCTCATTCCTCACACACACACACACTCATTCCACCAATCAATACCTCGTCTCATTCCTCACACACACACACACACACTCATTCCACCAATCATAACCTCCTCTCATTCCTCACACACACACACACACACACACACTCATTCCACCAATCATAACCTCGTCTCATTCCTCACACACACACATACTCATTCCACCAATCATAACCTCGTCTCATTCCTCACACACACACACACACACTCATTCCACCAATCATAACCTCGTCTCATTCCTCACACACACCACTCCATTCCACCAATCATAACCTCGTCTCATTCCTCACACACACACTCCTCAATATAGACTACTCTAGGGTGTAGGAACTTACAGGCTGAACCCTCTGACATTTCCACACAACATTTAACAGAGATTTGTATTGATTCTAACCTGGAAAAATACTCTTGTTGTGGCCTGTCGTCTTTGAGTGTGTGTGTGTGTGTGTGTGTGTGTGTGTGTGTGTGTGTGTGTGTGTGTAAAACAGTAGACCAACGGGGGGCTCACCTGAAGATTAAATGAAGTAGAGCCAACAGTTGTGTCAGGTGTTATATGGTTGAGGCAGTAATGAGGTAAAGGTAAAACAGGTGTTGGCTCAGGTGGTGAAGAGAGGTTAGTGACCAACAACAATAATAATAATAATAATAATAATAATAATAATATTAATAATAATAATAATAATAATAATAACAACAACAACAACAACAACAATAATAATAATAATAATAATAATAATAATAATAATAATAATAATAATAATAATAATAATAATAATAATAATAATAATAATAATAATAATAATAATAATAATAATAATAATAAAAGAAAGAAGAAGAAGAGGTTAGTCGGCCCAAAGGCCACCTAGGCGTGAATTTGTTTAAGGTGTAGAAGCTGTCACCAACACAACAACCACACCTGAGTTAACGAGCTGAATGACCCATGTTTAAGGTGTAAAGCTGTCATAACTAACAACCACACCCTGAGTTAACGAGCTGAATGACCCAGTGTTTAAGGTGTAGAAGCTGTCACCAACACAACAACCACACCCTGAGTTAACGAGCTGCATGACCCAGTGTTTAAGGTGTAGAAGCTGTCACCAACACAACAACCACACCTCAAGGTTAACGAGCTGAATGACCCAGTGTTTAGGTGTAGAAGCTGTCGCCAACACAACAACCACACCCTGAGTTAACAGCTGAATGACCCAGTGTTTAAGGTGTAGAAGCTGTCACCAACACAACAACCACAGTGATGAGTTAACGAGCTGCATGACCCAGTGTCAATGAATAGTCCGAGAAGACCGGACAACTCGCCAACTGCACTGGTTAACCATTACGGAACACGACCCACAAATCGATTAACATCCAGGTCCCCAATTACTGGGTAAACAGAGGCAAATGGCGTAAAACTTACCCATACAGGTGTACAACTTACCACGTATACATCATAGGTATACAGTATACATGGACAGTGCAGGTATATAACAACAGTAACCAGGCAGTAGACAGTAAACCGTCTGTGTATTTTCAGGTGATTCCTCTGTAACTTAATCTACGCTTCCATCTGGATATTACAGTGGTTTGTTTATTTCAGGTTTGTAATGTTGTGAAATGTTGTGTTTAATTTGTACTTCTCAGCTCCTAACATTATTTAGTTCCTGTGTTTAGTGTGACTGAT